ACCGATGTGAGATTTTAACCTTGCCAACAGTGAACCACTACTATTCCGTAAGGGATTACTGAATGTTCAAATGTCAAACCTGCAAGATTGATAGAGCTGCTCGATATCCACGAATATCGCTATTAGAGTATCCCCATCCCTGAAGGTCACCAATACACACAAACTTTTCCTGCCCTCTTGGAATCCTGAAAGATAGAACAAATCTGCCATAAATTATTTTTAACCATTTTTTCTCACAAAATGAAAGAAAAATAACAATAATTCGTCATTGACTCTGGAATCTATGTTGTTAGAAGAAGTTAGGGGATAATCATGGTGAATGAAGACTTGAGCTTCTTCAAGATTTCCCCTTAAGTTACTTCAAGGTACTATTTTCCATTGGAACCAACTAAAATGCAGGCAACTGAAGTGATAGAGGAGCATAAATTACCTGGAACATACTTTCTCTAAAAAAAAGATTACGAAACCTGCAAAAGGTTAAGAAGATAAACTGAGAATCCTCATCTGTGATTTTAAATGAAATAAACATCATCAAACATCACATGAGTTCAGATTCATAACATACGAATAAACTCTTCTAAATTTCCTTGTTTGTGCCTGTTACCAAAGCCAACTACAATTGGACGTCCCTTCTTATCAACACCTTGCATGAACAACTTGTTGTGAGCGAGATTGGTTGATAGCTCAGACACTGATATAAATCCACCAGGAATAGCTGATCTTCTCCAGCTCAAGTACTTCAGAAACATGGCAGAAGCCTTCTCTATATCTAAATCACGAGCTCGTAAAAACCTTCGTAGCATGAAATCATCTACATCCTGCAAACATGATGCACAATGTCCAACATCCTTAAATAACAAAATTATCAAGGGTTATTCGCATGCACATACTGTTCTAAAGTTATAGTAAATAGTAAAAAACAACAGTAGCAAATACTCATCCACTGTGCAGCTTGAAACAGCGACAATTGCAATTCATTCGATTATCCTTACATGTTCTTCAATGCCAAAAACAAATGGCTTGTTATTTTAGGTGGTATGCGTCTGGTAAAATTTAGCCTCTCAATTCTCATAACAAATATCCCTACAAATGAATTACACACCAAAGTTTCCATTTCACAGGATTTTTTTATTCTAATTGCTCTTGCTTTTTAGTGGGCCGATTCTAGTAAAAACAATGGCCAAATTAGTTGAAGAATAAAAGGAGGATTCAACCTCATGATTTAAAAAATACTTCTAACGATGCAATAGCATGAGTTGCAGATTTGACGAATACATGAGCGTAAAAATATTGATCCAGTGGAATGGTTGGACGGGGACCTGATGAGCAAAAGGAATGTAGAATAACAGGAAAACAGACAAGATCGAATCCGACCACTGTATACAAGATGTGGTAAAAAATTTCTCGAGAAAAACAATCCTCCAGATCTTTCCAGTAAGAACCAAAAATTTCAAAAGCAGCAAAAGCAACTGATTCTCAATGACAAAGCATCAATCGCAACAAAAGAAACGCAGGAAAGCGAAGTTTTCTCGATCTTTTTCATACGAGTAAACTAAAAAGAAGTACGTAACCTTAGCAGAGGAATCTTCTCCTTCAACAAAAGCTCTCATGATCGCGAGCTTCTGTTTATCAAGCTCATTGCTCTCCAAGCTATCATCAATCACAGGCGTCAGAGAACCATTTGGTTCTTCCACACACTCCTTGAACTCCTTTTCTTCCTCCTCCTCCTCCTTCGTCCATTCCAACTTTTCCTTCGGCGTTGCGTTACGCTCTTCAGACCTCGAAAGCTGAGTCGCCATGAAGGAAGGCAGAGTGCTGAGGGAGGAAAGAATGAGAATCTGTACTACAAGATCTCTCTCCTTCTGTCCGTCTCCATTTACAGTGGTTGAAGAAGAAGAAGAAGAAGAAGAAGAGAGCGAAACGACAACTTTATTAAATGCGTGTTGTTACACGCGCCGCCTCCACCGTTTTAAGTTTTAACCGATTTTTTGCATCTTACAATCGCAGGGAATCGTCAACAATGTTCAGTTTCTTTTCTTTTCTTTCTTTTTAATTAATTATTTACCGTAAATAAATAATATATATATATATAGTTAAACACTCTTTATTATAACCATGTGATACTCTCCACTCTCATAATAGTAACAGAAGTGGGACTTTCATCTAACTTCTCCCCTTAAACAAGTACGCCTATATATATATATATATAGTTAAACACACTCTCTACAATCTTATGATATTGTCCACTCTGAGTATAGTAATCGATGTGGGACTTTCATCCAACATCTCCACTCAAACAAAGTACGCTTCCCTTTAACTACGGCTCGACTCCTTTTCTTTTGGAGTTGATCCTATGACATAGCTAAGTTTAGGGTTTAACTCAGATACCATGTTAGTTGAAGCCGACTTCACAGTGTTATGATATTGTCTACTTTCATTATAAGCTCTCATAAGCTTTCTTAGTTTTGCTTTAAACATTCCAAATATTAGAGATTACAACAGTAATACAAAATTAATAAATTTAAATTCCTTTTCTACCATTAAAATTTTTCCACTATTTGGACTACTAAATTAAAATATATATTTTTATATTTTTTAAGAAAAGTGTAAATTATAGTAAAAAGAAAAAAAAAATTAGAATGAAAAACATAATTTTATTTTTCAATTTAAAACCTTTTTTTATTATATATAATCAGAGTTGAATTTAAATTATTAAAAAAACGTATTTTAAAATAATTTAAAATATTTAATATTTATAATTGATACGAGTAATTGGCATATGTTTGATATTAGGTGAGATTTTTTAAAATAATAATAAAAAAAAAATTGAAAATAAGTTGAGTTAGGTTGACTCTATTCGAATAGGCTCGAGATAATCAATTCAATTAATTCGACATGACCAAATTTAACGTGCCTACGGCCATAAACATTAAATATTGATTTTAGATTATATTAAAGTTAAAATAACCAGAAAATATTCCAAATTTGGTGGGGTTTTGGGCACATGTATGTAAGGGCATCCTTCAAATCTTCAATTTGTGGCACACGTCCACTTCATTCCTTCATATCCATTATCTTCACATTTTAATTATATAGTTTTCTCATTATTTTTTACATTTTAATGTAAAACAATTGGACAAAAATAAATAAATGAATGTTTCTAAATTAAATTTTGAAAAAAAAAAACTAAAAAAGAATCGAGAATTATAGTCATTTGATTAAATAAAATGAGTCGGTTCAAAATTAGGTCAATAATAATTGGGCTCGAGATTTAATAATTTTAATATTTCATTAAATGGCAATTTGGCTCGTACCCCAAATCCAAATAGTTAGACGTAGAGCTTATGTAATCTTAAATGGTATAAATAGGAGACTTTAGAAAATAATTTAAATTTATTTTGAGATTAAAATATAAAATTGTTATGTTAATTTAAAATAAGAAGAAAACTTTTATTTAAAAAAAATAAATAAATAAATAAGAAGAAACCTAATTTATTAAACTACATTATTTTAAATTGTGGAAATTATGGGGGTTACATTTTTAGCAATTTTTTGAAGTTAAAATATTAAAAATGGGAAATCCCTCTTTTAGCCCTATCAGGAATGGATACCGACCGTGGGCTTTTTTTATACCCATTATACAGCCCAACATTGTAAAGCCCATTCAAGCAGCCCATTAGAAAGCGACAGTTCGTGGCGGGAAGAGGAAGGAAACAAAACGACAAAAAGGCAACAAATGGGGTTATCCAAAGTAGATGCTTAATGAGATCGAATAACTACAATATATATATATATATATATATATATATATATATATATATATATATATATATATATTATTACTTTTTTTTAAAAAAAATAGACTAAATTAATAAAAAAAAATTTATATTTTGTTTGAAAATATTCCTAAATTAAAAAATATTCTAAAATTTTTTTAAAATTTTTTTTGTAACATGTCGATAAAAATTTAAAAGTAGTATTAATACCTTTATAAAAAAAAATGTTTAAAAAAATCATTATTAAACGAAAATTATCTATTGACATCTCATAAATTCTATTCAAACTTTCTAATGTTTACTTTCGAAAGTTAATAAGTATTTTTTAGTCCTATTATAAATATATTTTTTATTTTTTTAAATAGTCTAAAATCATTTTTCAGTTTTTTTTAAAAAAAATAAGAATATTAATGAAATTTTTTAAAACTCAAAAATATTTTTTAATTTTTTTTTAAGTTAAAAGTGTATTTTGTTTATAATTTTCATCCAAAAATTAAAGATATTATTGAATATTATTGAAACTGGAGTAGAACATATTTTTTTATTAATTTTATATTTTATTTTTTAAAAATACTAATGTAATCTAAAATTATTAAATTAAAAATATATATATATATATATAGATGAACAAAATTCCATTCTAAATTAACTAAAGAAGCTTTACAAAGTATAGGATTTTTATTTCATTTTATTTATTTTTGGAATGGCATCTCTTAAAACCCCATTTTTCTAAATTTGGCGGGGAGATGATACAGAAAGCAGACCTGCCGAAGGTTGAGGGACCATTTTCTCAGACCGATTTCGCTCTTAAGCCACCTTCAATGGCTTGCGAGAGATTTGGACTTCGTAGCGACCTACGCGCCTCCAACTTTATTATTTTCTACAACTCTTTCCCATGGATGATTCTCCTCCATTCTTGCTGTAATTTCACTGTTCTTCACCAAATCAACATATGCCTTCTCTGTTTCTTCAAGCAATTCCCTCTCTCTCTCTCTCTCCCCGTGTGTTTTTAAAGCTTCAAATCTCCCATTCCCTCTCTAAACCTAATTTCTAAGAAACCCTTCTCCTCCAACAACCCCTCTTTCGACGTTTCAACCATTGGGCTCTCCTTGTTCTTCAAATACACTCTGCTTCTCCGCTTATCAAACGGAATACCCAAAACCCATTTCGGTTTTTGCTTGTTTTGTTACTCCAACGCTCTGATTTGGGTTCTTGAAGTGAGCAATGATGGAGCTCTGGTTTTGGGTTTTTGCTATTTCTTTAGTTTCGAGGATTGCCGCTGTCCCCAATGCCGTCCCCACCGAACGTATTTCAGGTTTTCCATTGTTCTCTATGCGTTTGTTTTAACATTAAGTGATTTTTGTAATGAATGATCCTCTCGGTTTTGTTATTGTTATCTTGATATCCTCATTTCTGATGCGTATTGCTTTCGTTTACTACATAACTATGCTCTAGTTGTGAGCTAGTTGAGTTCTTGTGAGTCAGATTCTGCTCCTGTTCGTTGATTACATTGGACTTTCGAAGTTAAAAGAAAATGAACATTGCAGGATTGTTGGGAGGGAGTCCGAGGTTGGCTAACTAGGGGATAACCATGTGGGTTATAAGTAAGGAATAATATCTCTATTGGTACGAGGCCTTTAGGGAAACCAAAAGTAAAGCTATGAGAATTTATGCTCAAAGTGGACAATATCATACCATTGTAGAGGTTTGTAGTTTCTAACATGGTATAAGAATTATGCCCTTAACTTGGTCATGTCAATAGAATCCTCAAATGTCGAATAAGAAGTTGTTAGCCTTGAAGGTGTAGTCAAAAGTGACTCAATTGTCGAACAAATGGTGTATTTTGTTCGAGAGCTCCAAAGAAATGAGTTGAGCCTCGATTAAGGAAAGGTTGTTCGAGAACTCCATAGGCCTCAGGGGAGGCTCTATGATGTACTTTGTTCGAGGGAAGGATAGTTGGAAGGAAGTGCTCAAAGTTGTCAATATCATACCATCATGGAGGTCCGTGGTTCCTAGCTATACTTCATGTTCATATTCTAGAACTTCATGTTCATATTCTGCAAGTCTTTATCAACTTTAAGCTCTGAACTTCATTTTGGTTAAATTGATCCAAAGTGTTGGCATATTTGGTTATGTGATTTGTTTATTGGATGCAGGAAGTGCTGGGGATGTGTTAGAAGATAACCCAGTTGGAAGACTAAAAGTGTATGTTTATGATCTTCCAAGCAAATACAATAAGAAAACTCTTCAAAAGGATCCAAGATGTCTCACTCATATGTTTGCTGCTGAGATATACATGCATAGGTTCTTGTTGAACAGCCCTGTTAGAACACTCAACCCTGATGAAGCTGATTGGTTTTATACTCCAATTTATGTGACCTGTGACCTCACCCCCAATGGCTTGCCATTGCCCTTCAAATCCCCACGAATGATGCGAAGTGCCATTCAGCTTATCTCTTCCAATTGGCCTTATTGGAATAGAACCGAGGGCGCTGATCACTTCTTTGTTGTTCCTCATGACTTTGGTGCCTGCTTTCATTATCAGGTACCCTAACATACTTTCTCACTGTCAATAATATGCGAAAATTTAGATTATGCTATGACCTATCAAACTTCTGGGTTTAGGATATGAGATCCTATGTTGAAATCCATTTCTTCCCCATTTAGTATTGATATCACTTGTTGGGTCTTGTGCCATTCGAATTCATGAGTAAGTGCACGAGTATGTGTATTGTAATCTAACTATTAAACTTGTTGATCTAGGGTGATCGAATACTTACCTTGACTACATTTATAGTGGACATCGAGCATTTTGAGCTATAAAATTTGACGTGTTAGCGTATCTGTGAGATTCCATATTGGTTGGGGAGGAGAACGAAACATCCTTTATAAGGGCGTGGAAACCTCTCCCTAGCGGACGCGTTTTAAAAACCTTGAGGGGAAGCCCGAAAGAGAGTTCAAAGAGGACAATATCTGCTAGCGGTGGGCTTGGGCTATTACAAATGGTATCAGAGCCAGACATTTGGCGATGTGCCAGCGAGGTGGCTAAGCCCCGAAGGGAGGTGGACACAAGGCAGTGTTCCAGTAAGGACACTGGACTCCGAGGGGGGTGGATTGGGGGATCCCACATCGATTGGAGAATGGAATGAGTGCCAGCGAGGATGTCGGGCCCTGAAGGGGGGTGGATTGTGAGATCCTACATCTGTTGGGGAGGAGAACGAAACATCTTTATAAGAGTGTGGAAACCTCTCATTTTAAAAACCTTGAGAGGAAGCCCGAAAGGGAAAGCCCAAGAGGACAATATCTGCTAGCAGTAAGTTTGAGCTATTACAAATGGAATCAGAGCCAGACACTGGGCAATGTGCCAGTGAAGAGGCTAAGCCCTGAAGGGAGGTGGATACAAGGCGGTGTGCCTGTAAGGACGTTGGGCCCCAAAGGGGGTGGATTGGGCAGTTCCACATCGATTGGAGAATGAAACAAGTGCCAGTAAGGACGTTGGGCTCTGAAGGAGGTGGATTGGGGGGTCCCACATCGATTGGAGAATGGAACAAGTGTCAGCAAGGACGCTGGTCCCTGAAGGGGATAGATTGTGAGATCTCACATCAGTTGAGGAGGGGAACAAAACATCTTTTATAAAGGCATAGAAACCTCTCCCTAGTAAACTTGTTGTAAAAACCTTGAGGGGAAGAGGAAAGCCCAAAGATGACAATATTTACCAACCGTTTTTAATTGAATCATCTCTGGTTGTCGCTGAGAGTCACAATTGCAATAACCTTTGCTCTTGATTGTTGTACGGTGTAGGAAGAGAAGGCTATTGATCGAGGAATTCTTCCCTTACTCCAGCGTGCAACTTTGGTTCAAACTTTTGGACAAAGGCACCATGTTTGCTTGAATGAGGGTTCCATCACTATTCCTCCATATTGTCCTCCCCAGAAAATGAAAACTCACCTGATTCCCCCGGATACTCCTCGTTCGATCTTCGTCTATTTCCGGGGATTGTTTTACGATGTTAACAATGACCCAGAGGGAGGTTATTACGCGAGGTGCGTGTCTGTTCTGTTCTGCCATTCTTAACTTTTACATTCGTCCTTGTGTTTGACACTTCAATATAACCTACAGAGGTGCAAGAGCAGCAGTATGGGAGAACTTCAAAAACAATCCTCTCTTTGACATCTCGACCGACCATCCAACGACATATTACGAAGATATGCAGCGAGCAATATTCTGTTTATGTCCTCTTGGGTGGGCGCCGTGGAGTCCGAGGCTGGTAGAAGCAGTGGTGTTTGGTTGCATTCCTGTTATCATAGCCGATGACATTGTCTTGCCTTTCGCTGATGCCATTCCATGGGAAGAGATTGGCGTGTTTGTAGATGAAAAGGACGTGTCGAACCTCGACACGATCCTGACATCAATACCGCCTGATGTGATATTAAGGAAGCAAAGGCTGCTGGCAAACCCGTCGATGAAACGAGCCATGATGTTCCCTCAACCAGCGCAATCGGGCGATGCTTTCCATCAGATCCTGAATGGGTTGGCTAGAAAATTGCCACACAGTAAGAGTGTTTACTTGAAGCCTGATGAGAAGGTTTTGAATTGGACTGCAGGACCTGTGGGGGACCTGAAGCCTTGGTAGATAAATGGTTCAACTTTTTGGTTGTTGTGTCTTAGTTCATACCTTCCTCTATACTCCCTGCCTGAAGTTTTGATTGATTTTGATTTCACAACTTTTAGAGGTGTCTCTATGACTCATTTGATTGAAAAGGTATAAGAATCCGAGCTAAATATGGAATCCGTGAAGAGAATTATTGTGAATTACCCTATACATGCGTCATGGTCTTCTGAGTTGCAATGTTACCATTAGCCGTATATGAGAGTCTTGTCTGTACCTAAAAAATAAGAGTTGCACGTAACTTGAATATTTTAAGAAATATCAGTAGTGACCTAAGAAATACTCGGTAAATGACCTCACGGTTGGGATTAGATGCGAGTACACATAATCATGAGTGAGACCTATCATTTAAATTCGTATTTCCTTAGATGCCAACTATAAATAAAACTCCCATCAAGACTAAAGATTTCTCTATTATCCGTCCACTATAATTCTGCGTCATTTTTCACTATGAATGACGCATATGACAATTTTTGATCGTATGAGCATTCCATTAATAGAAATATCGTCTCCATTGACGAAACCCATATCTAAGCTTCCGTTGGGTCTCCTGTGGTTCCATTGACTTTCAATGGATCATACCACTTGAAGTCCCGTAAATATCTCGCTCGTCTCAAATTATTGAATATACACATATACGTTTAGGATGAAAAGTGGAGAGTAATATTTCAATTTATATAAGAAATGATAATTTTTGTTAAGTCATCAAAATTGATTTTATTTTCATATATATATATATATATATATATATATATTATTTTTGTGGGCAGCTAATTTCTCAGTACATATCCACCAAACCTTTTGGTTGCGAGTTGACCTACGCCGACAAAGATTGCCAAATAAATATATGTTGTTTTTTGACTTCAAATCCAAGAATTATCTAATTTTGTTATTTCATCTTAGTTATTAAAAAAGGTAGTCGTGGCCAACAACCATCGGCTGTCAGTTGTCGGCTCGTTGGTAGGGTAAGAACTTCAATCCCGATTTCTGGTAGCACACCCCACACATAAGTACTTCTCGATGAAGGACGGACGAAAGCTACAGGTCCAAAACCTTCGAACATTCTTTTTAAATGAGAGTACTTGGAGCACCTCATCTTCTTATTGTATCGTTGCTCGTTCCCATTAGGCTGAGAAATTCAACATTTGACTTATTGATTAAATTTACATACTTTGTACCAGTTGAGCTATCCTCATATCTGTAACTTTTTTCTTCTCAAATTATCATATTTGTGACGCATATATAATATATTTTTGTGTAGTTTTCTCTTATTATTATTAATTATTAACTAAAATATAAATAATAACTAAGAGAACATTTGTAATTTTTACCGAATATTTAAATTTTAAAAAATGAACAAAAATATTTTCTTTATATCCTATAATTTTATTTTTTTTAAAATAAAATAAGTTATATATAAAATTTATAGATATAAATTTCCAAGTCATCTACAATTATGCTAAAATGGTTAAACTAAATTACTTATCACAAATAATAATCTTATCTATTTTTTAAGCTTCTTCAAAATATAATATTATATCAAATTTTCTCCCTTTGTGATAATGACACATTCACATTTTTCTTAATAATTTTTTAAGGTTCAATGCATTTGTCTCTTTCCTACCAAAAATTATAAACATTTAATTTACTATTTATATTAACTTTTAAAATAATTAACAAAAAATAGTTTATTTTATTAGAAATTTATTGTTAAAATAATTAGAATAAATATAAATAAAATTGGACATTCCTAATTTTATCGTATATCTTTAAAATGGGAAGTTAAAGATTTATTTCTTCTTCGTGCATTTTATAGGATATGAATATTTTTAATCTTACTATCGGTAATTTTCTCGTTGATTAATGTAGATTATATTAATTTGAAATTTATTTTACTTACTAAATTTGCTTTTTTTATTTTTTTTAAGTTCAAATAAATTAATTAATAATACTTTATTGAATATTTCTTTTGAGTTACCTACCAAATTATATTTAAAATTAAATATATTTGAAAAACTAAATTTAAATAAAATTGGGGGAGTTGGTTGGCACCTACCGACCGCCACAAAAGAAAAACTCAAAAACCGAATATTTTTGTTCTTTTTTTTTTTTTTTTTTTAATCTTTATCTGTTCCTTTTCTTAAAATAAATAAATAAATAAATAAATTATTTTCAGAGCTTAAAACCCTGTACCCTTTTCATCGTTTATTATGAGTCTTCCTTCTTTGGGCAAACCCACCTACTCCACCAACCTTCTTCTCCCTCGCCTTGGCGGCTCGTCCTTCGTTCTCTCGCTCGCATGGCTTCCATTTCCAACCTCTCCACTTCCATCTCTGCTACTTCCCTATCCTCTTCTGTTAACCCTCGATCTTCTCTCTCCTCCAAGTCCTTCATCGCCTTCCGCCCCTCTTCCGATTTATTCATCAAGGTCTCTGCGTCTAGATTGTCCGTTCGGAGAGGCTCCGATCTGAGGGGCTCCTTGGTGTACGTTTCCTTTTTTATGCGTTTGTGTGATTTTGATCGGTGGTTTGGTGATTTTTTTTTTCTTTCTTTCTGGGATGATCTGTTTGATGTTTATGTTTTTGTCCGCTTCTGCTTCGGTTTTGTTTTTGTAGCGATGAGTTATTTACTATCTTGTTTCAATTTCGTGTTCTTTCTTTTCTCGGACTATTCATTTCTTACTGTTTGAAACAGTTGCGCGATAGAAATGCATTAGTAGGATCTGTAAATATTTGCGGATTCTTAGATCTTAGTGTGTTATTGTTTTGAGTTGTTGGTTTGCTTTTCAAATTGATCAATCTAGCATAGAACAGGATTGTTTGATCCTTCGATATAAGTTGCCTCTGAGTTACTATTGTATTTTTTCCCAGATTCTAATCAAAGTTGATATCTAGTTAGTTTCTTACTGCGATTCAGTGCTTAGTTCTTGGAGATGATAATAATTTAAGAAACATAGGCAGTGATGTATTTCATTTTGGATTGAACTCATTCAAGTATTCAAAAGTTTCTGATAACAGGGATTCTGTGTTGACTTTGAAATTGAAAAGAAACCTATAGTTTTTCTAATTTACAATGATTAGTTCGTTTGCATTGATGCTGTATAAATTGCTCTGGGATTGCTCTAAGCGATCTCTGGACAATCCGTGCTCCCGAGCAGTGTCTGTCTGAATTCTCAAGATGCATTGAATAGCAATAATCCAACCTTTGCAGGATTATCCATGTTGAACATATGTTTATGCTATGCTTGTTTGGTAACTAATGTGATAGTATGAATTTCATGTTGTTATTACAGTGTTAGGTGTTCCCAAGGGGATGGAAATGGAATCCCAATTAAGAGAACGGTGCTTCACGATCTCTATGAAAAGGAAGGCCAGTCTCCATGGTACGATAACCTCTGCCGCCCGGTCACCGACTTGCTTCCCCTTATTTCCAAGGGTGTCAGAGGTGTAACTAGCAACCCAGCAGTAAGTACTCAGATCCTATACTTTTCATGAAAATAAACAATATGATTATGTAATTTTGTGTCCAGCATTCCATTTTCATGTGGTCTAATGGACAAAAAACGTTAACTCTTTGCTTTTATTGTCGAACAGATTTTCCAGAAAGCAATTTCATCTTCAAATGCTTATAATGACCAATTCAGGTATTTTTGTTATAACAAGAGTTGTCTGAATCTTTCTGACTTTAGTACACTATGAATGGATGGTGATCATGTTCGTGAAATTTTCAGAGAACTTGTTCAGTCGGGAAAAGATATTGAAAGTGCATATTGGGAACTTGTGGTGAAGGATATTCAAGATGCATGCAAGCTTTTTGAGCCAATCTATGATCAAACAGATGGTGGTGATGGCTATGTTTCAGTCGAAGTGTCTCCAATGCTTGCTGATGATACTGAGGGAACCGTTGAGGCTGCTAAGTGGCTCCACAAAGTCGTTAGCCGCCCAAATGTGTACATCAAGATCCCAGCTACTGCTGCTTGCATCCCATCAATTAGGGATACTATTGCTAATGGCATAAGTGTCAATGTGACTGTAAGTTTTTATGATGACTGTTGCGTACTTCGATGCGTTTATCATAGCTGCATTGACCATTTGCATTCAAATTAGAATTTTAGTCTTGTTGCAACCTCCGGGAATTGGTAGCCTAACATTCGTTTCGTGATTCTCTGTACAGCTCATATTCTCCATTGCTCGATATGAAGCTGTCATTGATGCTTACTTGGATGGACTTGAAGCCTCAGGTCTAAGCGACCTTTCTAGAGTCACAAGTGTTGCTTCCTTCTTTGTAAGTCGGGTTGACACTCTTATCGACAAATTGCTTGAGAAAATTGGAACGCCAGAGGCCCTCGATCTGCGAGGAAAGGTAACTGCGTCATTGTTTCCAGAATTTAACTTTCACATATGCGAACTTACTGTAAGGTTCTCTGACTGATATATGGAATGATCAATATCTTAGGCTGCAGTCGCTCAAGCCGCCCTTGCCTATCAGCTCTACCAGAAGAAGTTCTCAGGCCCAAGATGGGAGGCTCTCGTGAGGAAGGGAGCAAAGAAGCAAAGGTTGCTCTGGGCATCTACAAGTGTTAAGAACCCGGCATACCCCGACACCTTATACGTTGCCCCGCTCATTGGACCCGACACCGTAAGTGACTAACATCACATATCTTCTCTATCAAATTGATCAAACACACATTCTCTTTCCTTGTCGAAATTGTAACGGGTCCATCTCAGGTTTCAACCATGCCCGATCAAGCTCTTGAAGCATTCGTTGACCATGGAACTGTCTCAAGGACCATCGATTCAAACGTATCGGAGGCGGAAGGAATATACAGTGCACTTGAGAAGCTGGGAATCGACTGGAATGAAGTTGGGAATCAGCTTGAAGTTGAAGGAGTGGATTCTTTCAAGAAGAGCTTTGAAAGCCTGCTGAATACTCTGCAAGACAAGGCCAACTCTCTTAAATTGGTGAGCCATTAAATCAAATCAAAGTGTGATGATGGATGAGAAGAAAGTTAATAAAAACTGGGGGGACCCTTTTTCCTGCTGTAAAATGCCTTTGTTCAGTGTCTTCAAAGACCTTATCTTCTAATGTAATATAGGTTGGTTAGGGCAAGTTCTTAGGGATTGAAACTTTGAAGGTTTCTTCAGTAATATTGTTGTGTTTTTCTGTCAGTTCTTCCGAAATATGTCTGTTATCGCCATTTTTCTTTTTTTCTTTTTCTTTGTAACGTTTTAAATTGTAAAGTATTTGAAAAGTTTCATAACTTTGAGTTTTTTTTTAGAAAGTATGACAA